TGCATAGAGAGGACCTAGAACCCTTGCTCAGATATAGCCAGTTGGCAGCTCAGTCTCCATGTAGGTTCCTGACTGAGGGGAGCAGGGGCTACCTCTGTCATGAGCTCAGTTGCCTGTTGTTTGATCACTTGCCCATGACAAATCAGCCTTACCAGGACTCAGAGGTAGAGAATGCAGGCAGTCCTGATGAGTCTTGATAGGCTATGGGCAAATGGCAGAGAACTCCTTCTGAAAGGGGAGAACTTCTTCTTTCAGTGGACTAGGGGAAGGGGATAAGGGGGAAAAGGAACCAGAGGGTGGACTAGGAGGAGTTGAGGGAGGGGCTTGAATGGAAATATATAATGAATAAATTGTAAAAAAAAATAATTTAAATGAAAAAATAAGATAGGAAAATATAATAATAAAATTACTTAATGTAAAAGATGAAATGAGAGAAAAAGTTACTAGATCAGGTGAAAGATTCTAAGTTTGCATATAAGACTATAGTTGATTTCTGTTACTGTTTCGACGAGTTCAAGTTCAGACACACTCTCACACATACATATACTCTCTCACACACACACATACCCATACACACACACACACACACACACACACACACACACACACACACACACGGTAATGTGGTACATTTTCAAATTTACTATCACTCTGTCTTATCTCCTGGATATCTGAGCTTTGGTTGATCCGCCATTGACATCCTTCCACTTAAACATGCTGTTCTGGTTTCTGTTTCTGGCAATTTCTTCTAGTACACGATTGTATGAAAATATCATCACTTCGCCTCAGCTAAAATTTTTCTTAGTTGTGTGCTGACAGTTATTTCCTTTTTTAACAAAATAAAATATAATAGGATAAAACAAAAAGCCATCACCCTGAAGTTGGACAAGGCAAAACAACAGAAGGAAACAATCCCGAGAGGAGGCAGAAATCACAGAGCCACTCCCTCGCACAGTCAGGAGTCCTGTAAAAATATTAAACTGAAAGCTATACTATATACACAGAGGACCTGGCTAGACCTGTGTAGGCCCTGTGCTTGCTGCTTCATTATCTGTGTGTTCATATGCACTTTGCTCAGTTAATTTAGAGGCCCCTGTTGTTTTGGTGTCCTCCATCTCCTCTGGCTCACACACTCTGTCCATATCCTATTCAGTAATCTAGAACAGATTGGGCTGTGGGCATGCCTATGGCAGATGGTCTTGGTTGTTGACTGATAATGAAAAGCTCAGCCCATCGTTGGCAGTACCATTTCCTAGGGAGAGACTCCTAAACAGTGTAAGGGTAAAGATCCGGGGAAGCAAGCAAGGAAGCAACTAGAACTCCACGTGTTTAATTCTCTGTGATCTTGACTGTTGATATAATGGGACTAGCTAGACTCCTGCTTTGACCTACCCTCAGTGATAGACTATAAACTGAAATTAGAAACTGAATAAACCCTTTCTCCCCTAATTTGCCTTTAGCTGAGATATTTTATCACAACAACAAAAAATCAAATAAGAACTCTTTGTGAAGATAAGTACTTTTGTTTAAGCTTAATTGAAAGATTAAAAATAGTTGTAGGATTTTCGTAGATGACAAGGTGGGATATATTTTACACAAGAGTTGGGCACGGTAACTGTGTGGTTTCTATAACAACCCCTAATGGTTTGAGAGGAAACCGTTCCACAGGACGTGCTAGTGACTGATGTCACTTTTAGAAAACTCTTTATGTGGCTAGTAAGTAAATGAAGCTATAGCTTCCCAATTTAAATTCTTAGTTTGGCGAGGACTGAAGCAACAGCAGAAGTGAAGTCGCTGTAACCACCAAAATAGTAGGAAGCAGACCTACGATGGTGTGAGGGGATGGCTGACTTATTTGGCCTGATCTCCTGTGTAAATGTTGACTGGGATCCAAGTCATTGGTACAATAATCATACAAGCTTTGCTTCTGTACACCACACACGTTCACAGGAATCGCTGAGTCATTTCACAGTTAAATAATAACACTGTTTTAATAAGAGGAGGAACTTGTGTTCTCATTATAACATTCGTTGATGATGTGAGAATTTCACACAATGCATTTTGATCCTATCCAACCCCTAACTCAGCACAGATGCACCCCTGCAAACTATTGAGTCCACGTTGTGCTACCTGTATATTTTTGGGTGTCACACCAACAACAGAAGTGTGATTAAATCTACCAGGGACCACACTCTTAGAGAAAACTAACTTCCTCCCCACAGAAATCATTAATTGTCCACAGTAACTCAGATCCGGGGCTGGGGGCTCACAGGCCTTTTTCCTCTTCTAGCTGGAATGTTGACTGGCTGGGTCTTGTGCGGCTCTCACACAGGCAGCCACAGCTGCTGTCATGCCCTGGAGACTCTCTTTCACTCTGATCTGCCTCCTCTTCTGCACCAAAACCCATGTTTTAAAGCACCTGGAGCATCAGCTCACAGCTTCTATTCATCTGTAATCACCAGGCGTCATTTTAGGCTTTCTCGTGGGGACCTGTTGTAAAACAGATATTGGGGGAAAGCTGAAACTGACCATGGAAGGAAAACAGCAGTGACAGAAGAGGTCTGTGCAAAAGGGTGCTAGCCATTCCCCAAGCCAAGACCTTTCAAGTCACGGGAAGGAAACTCTGATGCTCACAGCCAAAAACCATGCCAACTCAGCCGAAATTTGAGTCCCAGCAACTCCTTTCTATGACAAATATCCCTACTTGTACCATTTATTAACGATGTTTCTTGAAGAAGCCACTTCAGTTACTCAGTGTTTGTTTACTGTTTTTTCATCTGTGAAGTAAAGCTAATCAAAATAAAATGCTCTCTTCTTAGGTCAATGAACTAAATGTCTTTGGCAGCTATGCTTTGTTCATTGTAAAGTGCACCAGTGTTATTAATACAGTATAAACCTGTTCAAGGGGTATTTCCAGAAGTATTGTGATTTGAAGGGAAATTCTAGAGAGAGGCTCACCACACCTGCTCAGGAGAAAGCATGTATGTGAGTGGGAGTTAAACTCAGCAGCTTAACTGACTGAGTTGGCTCAGTCAGTAAGGCCGGTTGCTGTCAAGTCTGATGACCTCATTTCAGTCCCTGGAACCCCGTGCTGGAAATACAGAACCAACTCCAAAAGCTGTGCTCTGACCTCTACACGCATGCATCAAACACTAAATAAATACAAAAGACATATGAAGATAGATAGATAGATAGATAGATAGATAGATAGATAGATAGATAGATAGATAGATGGATAGATGGATGGATGGATGGATGGATGGATGGATGGATGGATAGATAGATAGATAGATAGATAGATAGATAGATAGATAGATAGAT